AAAAAAAAGTAAAGTTACATTAAGGAAAGAGACTGATATATTGGAACTGTGTGTTAGGCCTTGTTAAAAACAAACGTACAGATGAGATAGGGAAACTAGTTCACAGTGCTAACTTGATATAGGAAGAGCCAATCATTTTCCATGAACAGAGGATAAATTGAATATATTTTCTTTACCAAGTATTCTCCACAGACTTAATTAGTAGCAACCTCTTTAGCCATTAGGAAGAAGTTTTAAAAAGCATTATCACAGCTGGTCAGTGGCTTTTCATATTGTATTCTGACTTCTCCCTTTTGTTTGAAGTTTGGGTACTGTTTGAGGCAAAAGCCAACTTTCGTGGCTTCTTTGTATTGTTTTGTACAGGTCTGATGGGTCTGCGGTGATTTTTATAGAGTCGTCTGAAAGGAAAATCAAGCCTCTCCTATATACGCCTTTTGCAACAGGAAGGATTACGAGTTTCATCCAAAACTTTAATCACATTGTATATGGTGGTACTGTCAGGCAGAGCAAGTGCCATTTTTTCCTACAATGATTGAATCTAATTCTGCCCTCAGCCAAGAATCGTGTGGAAAGTGGTACCAATGGGCAGTGTCTGACAATGGCACAAACGAATGTGAGATGTCACTGAAAATCGGCAAGCTACTTCCAATGTATTGCCAAAAGTAAAGTCTGCTAACCTCCGCCCATAGCTTATCTAAAAGGATGGGCTCATGGGTGAAGGGCAGAAGAACTTGATTTGAGTTCACCTGCGGGTTCAGACTCCGTATGGCCTCGGCCAATTCACTTACGCCCTTTGTGCCTCTTCTCATCTGCTGGGACAGTGATACTTTGCTACCTGTACCTCTTCCCGTACGGCCCAACCTGTCATTTGTGAAGTGCTGTGATACCCGTAGATGGAAGGAGCTCTGTAGCCCTACCAAGTCTTATAATAAACTCACTCCTACGTTCCTTGCTTGTGCAGCCTCCGTGTGTGATTTCCCAGCAGAAGGAAACACCCCGCTGCGCGAACAGGGTCGATCAACGTGGGAAGCCGCATCGGGATGCTTTATACGGTTTGCTCACCAGCCCAGTACCAAGGGCCTGGGAGTGGGGGAGGGGGAGCGGGGCTGCCCCGCTGGCCGGTAACGGGGTCCCAGCTCCTCTCCTGCCGCTACAGAGAAGCTGGCACTTGTCCCTGCTGTGGCCTGGGCCTTGCGCGTCTGCGGGAAGGAGCCGAGCCGTCCCTGGCTCTGCTGCGGGGAGAACACACACCCCACTTCCAGCGCTTCTGGACACCGGGCCCTGCCGCCAGTCCCGGAGCCTGGCTCCACTCGGCGCAAGGAACACGCACTTCGGTTCTGGTCTCCTGCGGTGGTGGCACCGGAACCGGTAGCGCCGCCCTGGTATTCTGCTTCCGGGCCGAGCGCCACGCCCCCGGAAGCACAGGGCGCCGCGACCCGGAAGTGGCTCTTTGCCCCGGTCACGTGGCGGCGGCCGAGGCCCGGCCTGAGGAGGTAGCGGCGGCAGTGGCAGGTCTGGTGAGGCTTGTCCCGCGGGGAACGGTGGGGAGGGATTGCCGCCCGCTCTCACCTACAGGATCGCCCTTCGTGCGGTATCCGAATTAATTCTTCCGCGAGGCTCCACAGCGACGCACCGGGCGCGGGGCCCCCCTCAGGCGGGGGCAACAGGGCTCATGAAGCACCTGTCAGAAATCGTCCTCCACCCCGCGGTGTTTCGGAGCCTTGTGTCTCGCCCTGAAGCCCCTGGGTGGTCTTGGAGGGGTTGCTGAAGGCTCCAGTGGGTCTTGGGCCCCGGGGAGCTGATGTCAGGCCCATCCTTAGGGGAATAGGACGTTAGACTGGAGCTCCCCTCCTCGCTCTGTGCGCGTGCACAGCTTGCATGTGCTGCTGGGTTTGGTTCCTACCAGGATGCGGGTCATGCAGCGTGTAGCAGTTCCCATTTAGTAATGGAAGCAGCTGCAGGAGCAAGCAGAAGGCATCAGAGAGGAGAGTTAAAAAAAAAAAAAATGGGGAGCAGGTGGTAGGGTCTTCTTGGTGTTCAGAAACATTGCAGTGAGTTTGGCTCCATTTTCCTGGTGTTTTCTTTTTCAGTTTCTGAGCTCAGGAGCGGGCCTTTCCATGACTGCCTTCTCCTCAACACCCAGTTGCAGTTTATTCCACCAAGACATGTTCATTTGGCTGTTTGAAAACTCTTAACACGGATCCTGGTGAATACCTCTGCCTTCAGGGGGACCCCCTGTACCTCTTTGGGGGTATGAGGGCAAAAGGAAATATATAACACAAGCTGCACCTGGTGCGCCCCGTTTGAATTGTGAAGTTTGCTGGTGTGTGTCCTTCGAAAAATAAGTCACCATGGCTACTGATTCTGAGATTCTGCATTTTCAGTTTGAACAGCAAGGAGATGCTGTGTTGCAAAAGATGAACCTCCTGCGGCAGCAGAACTTATTTTGTGATGTATCAATCTACATCAATGACACCGAGTTCCATGGACACAAGGTGATTTTTGCTGCCTGCTCCACATTTATGAGGGATCAGTTTTTGCTCAATCAGTCAAAACAGGTGCGAATCACTATCTTGCAGAGTGCTGAGGTCGGCAGAAAGCTGCTGCTCTCTTGTTATACTGGAGCTCTGGAGGTTAAAAAGAAGGAGCTTTTGAAGTACCTGACTGCGGCAAGTTACCTTCAAATGGTCCACATTGTAGAGAAATGTACCGAAGCTTTGTCCAAGTATCTGGAAATTGATGCTTCTATGGAGAACGGCAGCCAAAGCACAGAGAAATGTCATTCCTCAGACATGGAACTGAGAAATAGAGATGACGGTATAGATAAGGACTGTGAAATAATTGAGATTACTGAAGACAGCCCTGATAATTTAGACTATCATGTAAAACAAGAGAAGGACGGTGTCCTACAGCCTGCAATGCAAAGTTTAGTATCGGAAAGAAAAGACACACAAACACCAGAAATATCCACAGTCAAAATAGGATATAAAGATGATGAAATATGTATCTTCAGAATGGATTCTATGAGTGCAGCTAATGTGGAAAGTGATCCCTTCCCACAGCCTTGCACCTCTTCCAAAACGAGTTTATATTTCTCAGAAACACAGCATTCTTTGATAAATTCCACTGTTGAGAGCAGAAATTCAGACATGTCAGGAAGTTATTTTCAGGCCTTTGTCAATGACACTGCTGAAGGAAACTCTAGTGTAGCAAGTGGGTTCCAGAGTTTGGAGGATTCTGGTTATTCATGGCGACATCAGTGTCCTAAATGTCCCCGAGGATTTCTCCATCTTGAAAACTATCTCCGACATCTAAAAATGCACAAACTGTTCTTATGTTTGCAGTGCGGGAAAACGTTCACACAAAAGAAGAATCTCAACAGGCACATCCGAGGGCACATGGGCATTCGACCATTCCAGTGCATGGTTTGCCTGAAGACCTTTACTGCCAAAAGTACGCTGCAGGACCATTTGAATATTCACAGTGGGGACAGACCATACAAGTGCCATTGTTGTGACATGGACTTTAAACACAAATCTGCCCTAAAAAAGCACTTGACTTCAGTCCATGGAAGGAGCAGTGGTGAAAAAACAATTCTGGACACTATCACAAAAATCAAGATAGACTATGATTAGCAGCCCTCTGGGTAGATCTGGAGCCTGGATCTACATAGAATCCTCTTGTAGCAGAATCCCAGGTGTTCTACAAATTCCCATTTAATGGAGACAAGTGCAAATATATGTCTGTCAGAAAATGATCAAGATGGGTCATATTTATACTAACCCTGCCTACTGTGTTTAACTAGTATTGTTGCAAGTCTTTGTATGGTCTTTGCCGGTTGAAAGTAAACTGCAACACAGGGGAACAGTTTGTACTTCTTTACTGCTTCCTCTTAAAAAGAGACACTTTTTTCTGCTTGCCTTTCACCCTTCCTTTTTCCACTAAAGGGTGGTGCCATTGAATCTACAATAATTTGAGGCCAGAGCAGTGGCCTTCCCTGTGTTTAATTGATGTTCATGTGGCTAGTCATACCCATTCAGTTCATGTTTCAGTCCAGGGGGAAGTCACTTCTCACTTCATTACACTTTGCTGAATCTTTCAGCAAAAAAAATGTCAGGGCCTGACACTCAGAAGTGTGTTTGTTTGTTTTTTTAAAACAATGTTACTCTCCTCCAAACAAAAACTGAAGCCTTTATGAAGAGAGAAGCAGAAAAATGGTGTATAGATATTCCTACCATGCAGTTCACTTTTAATTGGACAGAATCTCATTAGATCCAAATTTTATTACAGTCATTTTCTGAATTTTTCTAGCACCCACTCTTCTGACAGCTTTGTTTTCACTGATATGAAATGTTTCATACACTTCTGTTTCACACAGTCTAAGCTAGTCCTGTCTTCTGTCTGTATTCTCTTATTTTTGTCTTTGGTTTTTGTAAATTGTAGATGTATGTTGCCAGTGTGAGAAATCTGAACTGTGTGCTGCCCCGTAATAGAAATCTATCTAATTGGAAGGCATCCTTTATATTTCATTGGGATCAGTCTAGACACGGGGTTTGCTCCCTGTCTAATTCTGAGGTACAGAGAAGCAGTGCCATATATGTTTGGGTAGGTGTATTCATAATCTGTCAGAGATCATTTCTCTTTTCTCTCTAAGCATCAAAATGTTCTAGAACTCAAACCCTTGCTCTGCCTATTACATGGAAAAACATGTGAGCCAGTCAATGTGATATAAATAATACAATTACTGTAATGGAAAAATGCTATTTATTTAAGATCTCCGAGAATGAATGAAAACTGCTGTGTTCTGTTGTGTCTTATACAACATAGATAAACTTTACGCCCAATTTCAGAAATACAGTTACAAAGTTCTTATGACTGAGTTGAAGAAATCCTGGCATCTGTGCTCTGCATAGTTTGGAAGTTTGATAAGTATTTTGTGACAGCTGCTAATAGATGACGCATCTTATCCTATGATCTATCTAGAAGCATTATATGGGGTAAGTGGGGCTTGGGTACACATGATATTTTATAGAATCATAGAAAAGGAAGGTTGAAGGGACCTCAGGAGGTGACATGTAGTCCATCCCCCTGCGGAAAGCAGGACCAGCCCCAACTACATCACAGCCAAGGCTTAGTCTAGCCAGGTCTTAAAAGCCTCCAAGGATGGAAGCTCTACAACTTAAATATAACTTCCTCTTATCTGGAAAAGCAGCAGTCAACTGTCCTAGTGTACACACTGTTTTCCCAATTGAAAACTCAGTTTTGGAAGTGTTAATAACATTAGTCATTTCACCGTCTTTGAGGTTGGATTTGTACTAAGCCGTCCACTAGATAGTTACACAAAACTGATGAACTCCCCCGCGATAAACTGATATGTATAACTAATACAACAGCCACTGATACTTTGGATTATGCAGGTATCTAGAGGTCCCAGCCTGAATCGGGGCTCCATTGTGCTAGGTGATGTGTAGTCATGGAGAGATGCTCTATGGGGTAGGGGTTATGTTGTCTATTCAGATGGTATTTCCTATCCCTATTTTATAGTTTAGGAACCAAGAGAGCTTTTACACGTGCTTGACTTCTATAGGGCCCCTTCATGATGCAAAATTCATGTGAATGACTTGCAGTATGTAAAGTTAAGCATGTGTGTGTCTTTATAGGAATAAAGCCAAACTTCCAAGGAGGTATGTGATATGACTGGATATTAAAATAGTCCCAGTGCTGTGTGTTAACTAACCTGTCTTTTAGCTCTCTCTTCTTTTATATAACTATTTGGCACTGCTTCCTTTGTGGTCTTCTAACTATGACAGTTGTATTTGCCAGACTGAGGAATTGGATGTTTTTATGTTTGTTGAGTACTGATGCACAATGCATTTTTTTTTAGGTTGTTGTTTTTTTTTACTGTGTTTTTCAGTTTGAAAAGTGGCTAGTTCGTACTTGCAGTAATTGTTTTTTGTCGCACTTCTAGTTTGATTTCGTGTTCTTTGTGTGCATTCACAGTCCTTGCATTTACTGTTTGGATCTGCTGGTTCTTCAGAAAATAACAAATGTGGAGGGTTCAGTTTTGGTTGCCATCTTATAGTATTAACATTTAAGAGCCTGAATTTCAAAACATGCTGTTCTGCATTTACAGTTTTGTGATCATTAATGGTAATTTGGATGTATGTATAGGTTTGTGCCTGCAAATTTGCACACTTCTAAACTCTGGTCCATCACATGTAAGAGAGATAAAAAAAAAATAGGAAAAAAAAATAGGAAAAGCAATGATTTCTTTTTGTTTTATTTTTTAACAACAATTTATATTGTAGCATAATAGCTAAATGTTGTGCAGATTTGGAGCAGATACCTTCTATTGACTGTTCTTGAAGTTGTTCAGCTGCAAACGTGTTTCTGGTAAGTGCATGAATCTCACTGATATGAATTCATATCAGTTGTTCCCTGGCTTTTGTTTGTCTCTGTTACATAGCTGTGGGTGTGCATGTTTCTTAACTGATGAAGGGGAAAGTAGAGGCTATGTAATCTTGATATGCGCCTTCAGTGAGAGCAGGATTGTTTCTTTCTGCTGTTCATAGTGCATGTGAATGAGAGGAAGTGATGTTGTCTGTTACCTCTTCAGTGGCTAAAATTTTTCCTTGGTAAACTTTGTTATGAGAAAACAGACCTCATGCACATGTACCCTAAAAGATGTCTCCCTGTACCATTGTCTCCCTGTACCATTTTCTTCCGTGTAGCCATTTGCCATATTTATAACTTAATAAATTAAATGGAAATGAGATGTTTTATTTGTATATATTATATCTGAAGGTTTATGCAGCTTTGAAACTTAGTCTTACATTTAATGCTGTTGGATAAAGGGAGTTTCCCAATCCAATACTCCAAGCATGCTCTCAATTAGTTGTGCTAGTATCCTCAGCATATACATTAAAATCCCCACCGTGCTCATGTCCTTTTCAGTTCAATAAGTATCAAAGAATCTTTGCCAGTTCTAACTGACAACTTGTTGCCAGACAAATCCTCTCTCTGAAGAAAAGGATCAGACTCTTATGATCAATGGGTCAGAGCTGTGTTGTGGATCTCCATGTTCAGCCATTAACAGTGGAGAAGACCTTTATGATCATCCTTGTGGACCTACCAGTGCCCTGGGCAGGAATATGTGAGAAGTGAAGTTGCACAAAATCATCTCTGCCTGAAGCTTTGACACAAGACAAAACAGTCCAGTGTAATGCAGGATGCCTTGGTTGTGGCATATGCTCAGTTTCAGGGTGTAATCACAGGTTGGGGTGGGGAGGCAAGGATGATGCATATCCTTGCAGAGCATCTGATGGATTCGGAAAAGCTTCTGATATATAGGGTTAGTCTATCTATCTATGTAGCTAGAGAGAGAGAGGTCCCAGCTGGATCAGGGCTCCATCTAGCTAGCTATATATGTCTCTAGCTAGACAGTATAATAATATCTTTTTACATATTGTGTTATACATACACAAACATAGAAAGATATGAGTAACCCTATATAGATTGGGTCATATATGTACACAATCCAATATAGGAAATACAATATAGTGTATATATGATCTAATATAGGGTACACTAACCCTATATATATTGGGTCATAGGTTGGAGCAGACAAGCCGCTGTGCCCCTGGGGACAGCAGGGAGCAGGTGAGGGGGATGGAGCAGAGCGGCTTCGTTTCCTAGGAGACAGCAGCATTGGCTGTGCCCTGTGGTGGGCGGCCACAGCTTCCTGCAAGAGACAGCCATGGTTCTCCCGCTGCTCAAGACCTGGAGTGTTCATCTGTCTGTACAGACCCAATATATCTACCTATATAAAGATAATGGAATGTGTGTGTATGCATGCACACAACCATATAAAGATAGGACTAACCCTATCTATATTAGGTCATATATATAGGGTTAGTATACACAGAGAGAGATCTATATCTATCTATCTATATATGACCCAATATAGGGTACAGTATATGATTTAGGGTGTATATTACATAATAGTGCATACTAACCCTATATATTTCCCAATATAGACAGGGTTAGTCCTATCTTTATATGGTTGTATGTGTGTCTATATAATATACGTCAATACATGCAGGTCTACGGGGTGCCTCCAGCAGCGGGGGAGCCGCGGCCTCCGTCTTCCGCAGGGCCCAGCCGGTGCTGCCGTCTCCTAGGAAACGCGGCCGCTCTGCCCCGCCCCCCTCGCCTCCTCCCCGCTTTCCACCCCACCCCCACCCAGGGGCGCGAGGCGAGCGGCG